CCACTGGGGGCTGGTGTCGGAAGCGAGCAAATCCTCATTGACTCCCATGTTAAAAATGCCAATTTCACAGCAGAAATAAACATGTTTACAGCCTGGTACCAAAACATGTTTTGGTTTAAATGATCTAGTTTACACTCATGACAACTCTGAGGGGGGTGAATTTTTTTCTCACTCTTCTGTTTAAGTGTATTAGAAGCCTAAAATTCTGCATAATTAATGAGCATCAGACCCACGTGACCACAGAGCTAGCTCCGTGGAAAGGCCTCAGTCTGGCTTGGAAACTGTTCCGGGATTTTGAGTCTCTGTGCTTGTGTATTCTTTTTTGGATATAATTTGTGCAATTGTTGGACAAAATGACTTGCTGTGGCATTAATTGCACTAATAGAGCGTCCAAGGAGTCTCCACTTCATTTTTTTCGGTAAGTAAAATTATATTTATGTATTTTAGGTCACTGCCGAGCTGAGCTTAGATTTTAACATGTACTGTTTAACCATGAACTTTAAATGTAATAGGGTAAAACCCAGTGCATTTAACATAATGCTGCATTTTAGAAAATGGGTTGAAATATAACATGTTGGTGGAGCTGGGTTCTGACTATCGGCTTATAGAGCTCCGGACCCCATGTGACTCTCAGTTAGTGGACGCCATTTTGGCAGGAAAAAAAGGTAAACAAACACAGATGTAACCATTAACGTGAACGGGATCCGCTTGGATTTTACTTCGTCGGAGTTTACTTCACACTTTAAAACCAAAGAAATCGTTTTATATAGTCAGAAATTAAATAGACTAAACATCTCCGACCCTTACCGTGTCCCTGGGATACTTTTTAAAAATGCCAGAAGCTGTCGGAGCGGACTACACCGGACCTGGCCGGGGGAACCCCTTGGGATTCCCCCGGCCGGAGGAGCTGGGGAGAGGTCTGGGACTCTCGACGCTACTGCCCGCTCCGACGCCAGAAGCTGTCGGAGCGGACTTCTTACTGGACCTGGCCGGGGAACCCCTTGGGATTTACCCGGAGGAGCTGGCTCCGGCGGCTGGGGAGAGGGAAGTCTGGGCCTCTCAACGCAAATGCCCCCGCAACCCGACTCCGGATAAGCGGATGAAAATGGATGGATGGATGGACAAATAACAGATTTACATGTAAGTAGTTTAAATAGAGTGCTGTGCTGTTTGAATGTATAAACTGAACACCAAGAGAAATCACTAGTTTGATTTTTTTTTTCGTGAATAAAATAAATATGTCAGGCAGGAGCGTCTCAGGATCTGTCTCGGTGAGACAGATAATAGCAATCCAAAGTGCTTTTTATGTGTGATCTGACAATTGATCAACCATTGCTTAAAAATTAAATACAGCTTAGCCGGTTAATTGCTGTGATCATAAAACACGTAAACGGCAGCACGCAGAGCTCATGAGGCAACGTTTTACGTGACGTTTACTTGTTGCTATGAGTAATAAGACAGAAAAAGCCACGCCAAAATAAGTCTAGGAAGCCCACTAAGAATCGTAATAAAAGCATTTAAAATAAACAACATACACAGTTGAGGAAACGTTGGTTTAAGTACCTGATATGAAGCGGTCGCTGCATAAGCAAAAACCTTTACTCTCGGGATCCCACAGTTTCATTTTAGTCGGTCACTAACACATTTTATTGCAATGATCCAACGTTTGCGGTGCTCCTGATCTTGGGGAATCCTGTAGATGGCTCATTCCTTATGTCGTCCGCGTCTGTTCTGCATCCTGGGGCACAACAGGAATCTACCATACTTCCCGTTTGATTGAGTTTTCTGACAATAACAAATAGCCCAGCTGCCTGCCTAATGGCGCCGTTTCGATTTGAACTGTTGCATACCGGGAAACTTGACGTCAACTCCCGGAGCTCTATAGAGCTCTCGGGAGACCAATGTTTTCCACCCGGTTCTCCCCTCCCCGCAGCTTGGCGCATCTCTGTCTGATCGCGGCTCATGTCTGCTGGGCGGGCTGACGGCTTGTGGAGCTCTGGGATGGAAACCTTTCCACCCGGTTCTCCCCAGCGGCAGCCCTGCACATCTCAGATTGCAGCTCTCGGGAGACCTCTGTGTTCCACCCGGTTTTACCCAGTGGTCAGCCCGGCGTATCTCTGACTCAGAAGCTCTGGTGTTGTGCACAGTTAACTCCGGTTGTAGCTAGGTTGCTACCTCCGTTAGCTTAGCTTCCTACTCTGCATTAGCTTTGGGTTAGCTTCAGGTTAGCTTGTAGCTAGTTCGGGTGTCGTCAGTAGATCCCAGCCTAAAGCTTGGTTTATGCTTGACGCATTCACTTTCCGCGCGGTGATGCGGCTCGCGGCTGGAACGCGCTTCACAACTCGCAGCGTTTATGGTTTGTGCGGCTCGTCTCTGCGGTGAGCCAATATTCTCCCAAACTGAACGGGGCAGCATGGAGCTCTACGGCAAACATCCAACACTACACCATAGTAGAAGTAGAAATGACTGTTTACAACACGGCATTTCAGCATTTTTAACAGCGTTCTCGTCTTTTCCGACAGTGCGAGCTATTTCTCTCCAAGAATTATTAACAACATGTTGATCACGGTGATCTCTGAGAGCTGAATCATACAAATGTCTGTATTTACGAACCTCTGCCGTGCCGGTCCGCCATGTTTTTCCGCGTCCGACCGTCCGCGTGGTTAGAAATTTTCCGAGGTGCGCGTTGCGGAAATCTTGGGCCGTGCGGAGACGCGGTGGAGGGGCGTGGTTGTTAAAATGACGCAAAATGACGCAACTTTTCCGCGCGGAGCCGTGCGGACCTCGCGGACGCGTCAAGCATAAACCAACCTTTACAGCACCACCTTCAGCTCCACCTCTCTTCCCTTCTGTGGAATTGTCTGGGCTTGACGGAACCTGTGACACGGTCAAAATGGCGGTGGTGGCCACCTCCCATTTGGCCTCAAAAACGTGTTGGAGCCTATGGAAACCCATTGTCCATAGATGTATATGTCGATGGAGTAGACCCGCTGCTCCTCCACATCTAAAGAAGCCAGTTGAACTGGCTCGGGCCTCTGGCCAGGGCGCCTCCTGGTGAGATTTCCTGGACACGTCCAACCGGGAAGAGACCCAAAGAAAGACCCAGGATACGCTGGAGGGACCATGTCTCTCAGCTGGTCAGGGAACACCTTGGGATTCCCCCAGAGGAGCTGGCCCAATTTGCTGGGGAGAGGGAAGTCTGGGCCCCTCTGCTTAGACTGTTGCCCCCGCGAACCAACTCCGGATAAGCAGACGAAAATAGATGGATGAATGTAGTAGAGTAACTGAAGTACTTTCAAAAGGCTTAATATGTACTCAGATTACTTTAAATGTAACTGCAGTACCACTGGTTATTGTTCTGTTTAAACCTTTAATTGACAGAATTTTAGCAACAGATTGTACGAGCTACTTGGTTTTAGCTATCACCCACCAATACATTTGAACCTGTACCTGAGCGCTGGAGTGTTTAACGCAGGAAGTGATGCTGATAAAAACTTTTGACATTTGGTTTCCAAGAAAAGAGGAGATGATCTTGTGACAAGCTCCCAAGAAGAGTTAGAGACCTTGTGACTTCACAGTGAGACCTGTTTTACTTACACTCAAGATTGTAAAAAAGCTGTTATGTCTGAGATTCAGGAGGCTGGTGTGTGGGAAATTACATTAATGACAACATATTTTGTTATTGCTGCAGCATTCTGGTTTGGACTTGCAGTGTGTGGTGACCTTTTGAAGCCTACTTTTAATTTTAACATAAATATTCTAATAACATCAAATAATTGTTATTTTCTTATACCTGTAATTTTCACACAGTGTTGCAGGATGCCAATTTTTAATTAAATACGTATATTTAAATATCAGCTACATTTAACCACATTCAGCCCCTCAGAACAAAAAAAAAAAGAGGTGTGAATATTTTTGAGTGCGTATTTCATCCCATGAATTTAGGAAATTAGATTGTTTTTTCTAAAGACAGATTAAAATATCAACCAAATAAACAAATTTTTTATTAAAATATAGATGTTTTGATTTGCTTATGAATATTGGGAGTTTATTTTATTTATTTGGGTTCAGTGGTCAATAATAAGATTCATGTTTTCATATTAAGAATTGGGTTCTGCATATAGTTAGTTTTAAATAAGTAGATTATATGTTTATATTGTATTCTAATTTTCGATAAAATTCATAATTAGGATTCACGGTAAAATATTCATTTTATTTAGACTTGATTCTCAAAACTAGATTTAATGTTCTAAATTTAGATTAAGAATAATGTTTAACTTTAAATTATTTTAGTCATCAATTTCATTAAAAATTTTAATTTAAAGTTTTATTATTACAATTTTCTCATCTTTAGAATCAGTTTTAATTAATTTAATGTTTAGATTGTGTTCCAAATGTTTAAATCTGATTACACATGTTTACACACATTTATATTTAGGCCTCCTGATGTTTTATTTTGGATCATATCTAGTAAAATTTAACTTTGTACATTTTTATTTATTCTAAATATATGAATTAACGTTTGTAATATTTATAGTTCAATTTATCCAATTGTTGTATTTAACTTCAGAAATTTAGATTGAATTATAAACACGTTTCAATTATTTTTACATAGGAACTTGAGTTTTTATGTTTAACTATATTAAGATTTTATTTTGAATGTTTAAAGCCATGATGCCATTTTTATTTGGATTTATTAATTTACAGCTGGCGCCCCATATATTTTTTCTCTATATACCAATACCCTAGTTTGCTCAATAATTGGAAAAAGCACAGTAGGGTACTCTTCAGTGCAAATGAGAGAGAGAGAGAGAGTGTGTGTGTGTGTGTGTGTGTGTGTGTGTGTGTGTGTGTGTGTGTGTGTGTGTGTGTGTGTGTGTGTGTGTGTGTGTGTGTGTGTGTGTGTGTGTGTGTTGGGAGGCGGGGGTAGCTCCGAGTTTCAGCCAATAGACGTAACGCGTCGCTGATGTCCTTTCTGGGCGCTTTCATTTGGTGCCAGAGCTGCGCATCGCTCAGCCCTGGTGAGCTCTCCGTCTTGCTCTCACTTCATCCGCCTCTAACCACGGACATGCACTGAAATGCTCCATCACTGAGCATTTTCAGAACCCCACAACGGAACCGAGTTGTGTTTTCGTCAGCCGCAGTCAGCTCGGATGTGTCCAAAGTCCTGATTTTGCATCTTGATTTACGGAATATCGAAACCGCCTCCTCTGCACAGTTGTTTGCGTGTTAGAGGTGAGAGTTTAATCTGTTTATTCAGCTGCTTTTAATAACCTTCTTGTTTTTTAAGTCACTTTGGGTGTTCTCATAGGAAATTAGTATTTACAAATGATGTTGTTTTCTTGCATCTTTTGGAAATCATTGTGCATCAAATTATGTATATATCCAGACCCACCAAAACAAAATGAAAACAGTTTAGATGGTAAACAAACAAAGAAATAAAACAAACAAACAAATTCCCCTGGAGCAGAGGGGAGAGGAGTGCATCTGCCTAAACCTTTGAATGTGTCTGCGCGTAAAAGCGCACTTAATGGAAGGTAGCATTTTGGTCCATATGTGTGTGGACTCAGCTGTTTGTCGTTCAGGTGGACTTGCTCAGTCTTCCTATTCCGTTTTCATTCTCTCCTCTTTTGGGGAATTCTGTCTGTGTCTTTTGAATCCTTCAGGAACCCATCCATGTTGACAGACCACATTCCAAATCCGCAAAAACTCACTGCGACGTGAAGCCACATCACAACCGCACTAAAATAATCGACACGGTGAAGGCAGTTTTCTCTGCTTCACTGCAGACATGATAGAAGGGTTGCTGTTTTACAGTGAAATCCTTTAGACGTTTCCTTCCTTTTGAGTAAAACCAATATATTTTTTTGTCTTCATGTGTATGAATGCAGATGGAACAGCAGACGTGAAATTAAAGTGGGGACGAACTTGTATTTGCTGGGATCTGAAAAGTAACCAGCGACGGCACCTAGTGGTGGGATATTTGTGAAGAGCTTGTACAATATTGTGATTTGTGCAACATTTGCTTTAATTTTATTTGATTGGACATTTGAATGATAGTTTTCTTAATATTACTTTTAGACGGATGGAATTTACATGCAAACCACTTTGAATTTAGTTAATCCGGGATCAGAGCAGCCGAGGATCAGGTGACTGAGGTGTATTGCCCCTCTGTGGGGGGCAGTCAGGCAGACTTTGCTGGGGGTATACACTCTCTGTAATGCTAAAGCCTTTGTTAATGTGTGTGTGTGTGTGTGTGTGTGTGTGTGTGTGTGTGTGTGTGTGTGTGTGTGTCATGCTTGTGGACATGCATCCGTCTTTTTCTTGTGCAGGTGATGTACTTGCACGTGTGTGTGTGTGTGTGTGTGTGTGTGCGTGCGTTTGTGCGTGCGTGCGTGCGTGCGTGTGTGTGTGTGTGTGTGTGTGTGTGTGTGTGTGTGTGTGTGTGTGTGTGTGTGTGTGTGTGTGTGTGTGTGTGTGTGTGTGTGTGTGTGTGTGTGATAAGTGTTTACACTCAGGAGGTAAGCCACTGTTAATTGGTTAGCCATTTGGATCACATGGGAGACTGAAGGCAGTGGCAGAAATAGTAGAAATGTTGGGCTAGACTGGCTGCTATGGGATGTAACTCCAGTTGCCTCAGAAAAATGCCAGACTTTTAAAATTTAAATCAGTCAAAAAATATTGTGGAGTGAGGAAGCATATATCACTTTAAATCACTTTTTTTTTTGGAAACACGCACTTTGATTGTTGTAAAGAAGCAACAACTAATTTAGTTTTAAAGCAAAAGGCATTGTTTCGGTGAAGGGCTTAGCCAATGGCGAAGGTGGAACGATGCGTCCGTCCAATCACCCAACCCTATTATGTATATGTTGCACCATGAAAACTGCATAGATAAATATATACATACATACATACATACATACATACATACAAACAAACATTAATCATAATATTACAATCCCATAATATTCATAAAAGTACATAACATACCTCACTTCATAGGCTAGGGGTGCCAGTAGTGTTTTCACTTCAGGCAATAAAAGCTGCAATGACAAATTTGGAAATCAAATTAGCGTAAAACATTTTTTCATGCATCTTAATATTCTAACACCTATAGTTATAAATATATAGAGATTAAAAAAACAAAACAAAAAAATTAGTAAAGTGGTTGTTTTGCATTTGTCTAATAACCTCAGTGGATAACATGTTTTGGAAAGAAAGCAACCATTTGACCCTCCGGTTGTTGGTCTCTTCAAACTGCCACACTTCCCTGGGTCCTCCTTTCATTACTTACTCACATATTTAGCAACACAACACCACTGGTACGAGAGGTTCGTGGCTCAGTAATATCAGAGGGGGAGAAACAGTCGCCTACTAACACTACATCTTTAGAGCAAACTATGAGAGTCCCAAAAAGAAAAACACCACTGTAAGCAACGGACAACAAAAGACATTTGGACCTTGAAAATGGCAAACTGGTGTGTAGCACTAACTTGTTTCCTCCGACATTTCTTGTCCTAGCAGAAGCAACTCAGGGAAGAGCCGCAAGTTGTTTGCAGATCGGTCACATCGGCTAAAAATGGGGCACATAAACATATTTTTAGGCAAGATTCTATACAAAGTACAAAAAATAAATCATCTGATCAATCTCCTCTTTCAGGGACAGATTATAAGTGCAGGGGGCCCTGGCCCTCCCAGAAAATGATTGTGTAATAAATAAATACAACAACAAACTGTACACTTGGCATGCTGCCATTTTAACTTCATTGAGTGAGTGGGGTTGTGCATGTGTGGGTGATATTTTCCCTTGTTCCTCAAATGCCTTGAAACAGCCCTGGATGTGGGACTGAATTTTGAAGGTGATCTGAATTGTAATAACAACAATTAACCCTTTGATGCATGAATTATGAAATCTTCAACCATGATTTTTTAAACAATTTTTTCATTCATTTTTAGGTGTGAATGAAAGAAATTTCAACAAATATTTTTTGTAATATTTTGTTAATTTACAAATAATTTATTACATGTCTACCTCAGTGGACAGCGTGCATTCTGAACATGAAATATGTCGGCTTGACTTACTGAAGTCCAAATGGAGGGGCTCAAATGCAATAAAGTCTTCAACAGCTGTGCTTAATAGCAAAAATAAATAAATAACAATTTTGAATACCTGTCCACTGTAGTGACCATTATGCATCAAAGGGTTAAGTAACATATCACATGCTAATAAATTGCTTTATACAGTTAAGGGGTAGTGGGGATAAATCTACCTACATTTTCAAGCTCTTTGTTTTGCTTTCTTGTTTTATATTTGACTATTTTCCAATCCTGTTTGTCTCTTATCTTCCTGCTTGGGGGCGACGGTGGCACAGGAGTTAAGTGCTCGCCCCGTAACCGGAAGGTCGCAGGTTCGAGCCCCGCTCAGTCTGTCGCTGTCGTTGTGTCCTTGGGCAAGACACTTAACCCACGTTGCCTGCTGGTGGTGGTCGGAGGGACTGGTGGCGCCAGTGCTCAGCAGCCTCGCCTCTGTCAGTGCGCCCCAGGGTAGCTGTGGCTACATTGTAGTTCATCCCCACCAGTGTGTGAATGTGTGTGTGAATGGGTGAATGACTGATTGTGTTGTAAAGCGCCTTGGGGGGTTCCAGGACTCTAGAAGGCGCTATATCAAATACAGGCCATTTACCATTCTCCTCTCAAACCTCCAGAAAAACTGCTTCCTAGCTTTCCTACCTTTTTTACTTCATGAGCTACTTTTAAACTGAGCAGTTCAAAGTGATCTGAAAATAGCGGGAGTGCGCGGCAGCAGCAGTGAGGTGAAGTAACCGGAGCAGAGGTTTTGAGGTTTTCTGACGCAGAGCTCGTCAAGCATGAGTAAAAGAAAGAGAATATGAGCAGACATGAACAATTGTGTGTTAATTACATTGTTTTGGTAGCGCGACTTTGAGAATATTACTGTGGCTGTGTGTAGGACACAGCTGCCTAGAGCATACAAACAGTGAGCTCAAAAGAGGTTCTTGTACGCTGAGGGTCCATATAAATTATGTAAAATTGGTTGAAATTTGATCTTTTTCGGGCTCCCCTTGGGTGTTGAGAGCTTTCCGGGGAGCCGGGCTCCTCCTAGATCCCCATGATTTGAATCCTGGTCAAATGCTTCCTCACGTCCTTCTGTCTCTTATGTAATCCCAGACGCACTCCATGATGTTGAGACCCCGGCTCTGTGGGGGCCATATTATCACCTCCAGCATTACTTTACAAAGGTAATTCCACAAAAAGCAACAACAGTGGTTTAAAGGGAAAACATTTTTGAGGAGATTAGCACATTACTGCCACCTACTGAACTGGAGTATGAAACTGTAGGTTGAATAGTCAAATTCTGCTAGCCTGACTAGCCAGACTAAATAAATATATTATTTAGTTTTGGAACACTCCATTGACGGTTCTCGGTCATGGGGCGAGTTCTACCGTTGTCTTTCAAATGATCTCATGCTACTGAACACAAACAAGTGACATACCCACTGGAATGGATGTCGGTAAACGAGGCAGTTTGCTGTTGAAGAAGGTGAAATCCTCCATTTTCTAAGTAAAGTACTTAAATACATCTATCTGCTCCTGATTCTAATAAAGCTCAAGTTCTAATAGTCCAAAATCGATATAAAAGCCACTGTCGCCATCTTGTTCCACTCCATCGCATCATCCCTCCCACCAGATAAACAGAAGGCCCTGATTGGCCCACAAAGCAGATAGAGTGCTGTGATTGGTAGGGTTGGGAATGGAAAACCGGTTCTTGTTGAGGACCGGTTCCCATTGATCCAGTTTCTGTGAATCGTTCGCCACTTTTGCAAATGATTCCCCTTATCACTTCCAGTCGGCGTGAATGACGTCACCGCGCACATTGCGTAGATTACGGAAGCAGGAAACATGGCGTCTAAGCTGCACAAACACTTGAAAGTTTGATTACATTTTACAAGAAAGCATGACAACAGGGTAACTTGCAATAATTGCAAAGTAGATATTTCATCAAGGGATTAAGCATTACGAATATACAAAAGCCTTTGGACACAAAATACGATATAACTTAAAGTTATTGACGTGTTTCAGCCCGCTTCGGACTAGTGAACGTCGCCGCTGCAGCAGTGGTGACGTTCACACATCCTCTCCAGTAAATACTGCAGGTAACTAAACAACTGCCTATCATGTTAGCGTCATTAGCCTTATATATACACCTCCACACTAGC